TATTATACTCGACCTGCTGGTATATTATACTCGACCTGCTGGTATATTATACTCGACCTGCTGGTATATTATACTCGACCTGCTGGTATATTATACTCGATCTGCGGGTATATTGTTGTCAGATATGAGGGCGTGTACTGAGTATCTCACTGTTGTCAGATAAGGGCCTACGAAGTTGCCTTGGTACGGACAGTACTCCGGGCAGGAGGTGGCAGGGATAGCTGGCCATCCGCCCTTGCTGGACACCCAGCCCCGAAACAAGGGATAGTTGATAGGAACCCGATAAAAGCTGGCAGAACACACGTATGCGATAACGATCAATCAATTCATCTCATCTCCAGATCACCGACATCCATCAAATCACTGTGTGAATCTGACAATTGTACTCGACTTAAATCTCCTCTGAGCGCGCTAAAGGCGAACAGGGTTAGGGGTAGTGGGGTTATGGGTAGAAAGGGTTAGGGCAGAGAAATATCCCTACATAATTGGCTCATTGAAACTACACTAGTCGTGAGCTCTCTATATAATTGGATAAGAGGAGGTTTTAAGTCGAGTATAATTTACCGCGTCCCGCTGGGGGTTACTGCTGGCGCCACCGTCAGACAGTATGTGCTACGGCATCGAAAACTTACCTGGTTCGGGGCATTGCGTGCATAGGATAGGATGCGGCATTTGCATGGGAGCTTGGTGATGTGCTGGGCCACTCGGCTGTAGTCGGGAATGCACTGAGCGTCATACGGCAGGCACAGATGGGATGCGGATATCCAAAAAGTGGGGGACGTGTGCATCGGCCGTTGAAATATAGCTCGGAAGGATCCACCGCCGCGCGTGTGTGTAGCCAGTGCAACTTGTGCGTGCGACCCTGTGGTTTGGGAGAGCGGGGTGGAATCCTAGTCGTAGCTGGACCTCGGCCGAGGTAGCATATATGAGGACTTCCACATAGTTAAAGAGATGGATGCGTGTGGGCAGCGACTTTCGTACTTGTTTCAGTTTTACTGCGACATTTTGCACCGGTTGAGTTTACTAGGGACGATTGGCTGCCTTAACCGTCACGCCACCAACAACCTACATATTCTCTACAGCCAGCTGAACATCGCCAAGACAAGTGGATTTTGTCACGACTCTGACACTTTCCTCTCTCGAGATTTGGAAGCTGTGTTGCTACTGTTGCTACTTCGCGAACTGGGATACTGCACTGCGCAACCGGGAGCAACAGAGTTGGAGCACTTGTACGCGGGACACGATATCCTCGCCATGAGCAGCACCATGCTACCAGATGACTTCCGGCTTTTCAGCCCGGTGGGCATTGCGTTCTCGTTTGGAGCGTTTCTATCAATCGTAAGTGAAGCGTTCGTGTTTCCTGCCAACATTTTCTCGCAGATTACAATAGCACACACCCTTCCCACGACTTTGTATTACCCCAGACGCGGCAATGGACTACTTGTTCTACGAACCAGTTGTGTTGCGTTCTGGTGTTGATTTTCAAATCAACTTGAGGATCTTCTCTAATCCATCCCCAGGTAGCACTCTACTCGATCTACACATGCATCTACAACCTCTACTTACACCCCCTCGCCCACATCCCCGGCCCCTTCTGGGCTCGCGCGACACCATTCCCTTACATCCTCGGCATTAGATACGGCAACATGGTTCCCTGGATTCGCGACATCCATCAAAAGTATGGTGACGTGGTGCGCGTCAAGCCCAACGAATGCTCCTTCATATCTGGGGACACAGCGTGGCAAGACATCTACGGCTTCCGCACTGGCAGAAACAAGGGCGGCGAGACTTATCAGAAGGATCTCAATTGGTACCCACCAGCGGTTGAGGGAAAACGGAGTATGCTTAGTGCAGACGATGCGAATCACTCCCGAATGCGGAAGAATTTGAGTCATGCGTTTTCGGATAGGGCACTTAGGGACCAGGAACCCATTGTGCAGGATCTTATCGTAAGTGTGCCCCTGGGCAGGAAGATGATATCTTTTCTCTATCCCTATCACTTCATGCTCGACTCACCTTTTCACACTATCCTCACTCCTACTTACACCGCACCCTATCAGGACCTCCTAATCCAGCGCCTCGACGAGCGCATCGACCAAGGCCAATCCACAGACTTGACCATCTGGTACAACTACACGACCTTCGACATCATCGCCGACCTCACCTTCGGCGAGCCCCTTCACTGCCTCCGCGACCGCACCTACCATCCCTGGGTCAAGTTCGTCCTCCACATCCTCAAAGCGCAGGGCATCATCGCGCTCCGCAAGCAATACACCCTCGTCGCAGCCTATGATCGCCTGGCTTCCCTCTTCGTCGACAACTCGGCTGCGCTCCGGGCGCGCCTGGTGTTCATCAAGAGCCTGGCGGACAAGGTCGAGCAGCGGTTAGAGATGCAGACAAGTCGTGAAGATTTCTTTTCCGCGGTGATTAAGAACCAGGGCGTAGGCGAGAAGGCGCTGACGAGGGTGGAGATGGTGATAAATTCTCAAACTATCGTGGGGGCGGGGAGTGAGACGACGGCTACGCTGCTGTCGGGTGTGACGTTCTTAATGCTCAAGAATCCCTCCGTGTATGCCAAGCTAAAGGACGAGATCCGAGGAAGGTTTATGTCCAGTGAGGAGATTACCTTTGCCGCCGTGGAAAAGCTGGAATACACGATCGCGGTGCTGCAAGAAGCACTGCGGTTTTATCCCCCCGTGCCAACAGGATTCCCGCGCGTCGCGCCGAGGGGCGGGGGTACGGTGTCGGGACACTACATGCCTGAGGGCACGGTGGTGTATGTGAGCCAGCATGCGACGAACCATAGTCCGCGCAACTTTGTGGAGCCGGATGCGTATGTGCCTGAGCGCTGGTTGAAGGATGCGCCGGAGAAGTTCAAAGACGTGAGTTCACTCATCCATCATGTGATTCTTCGCTCTCCCCATCTTCAGACTGACGTCTTCAGGACAACCATGCCGCCATGAGCCCGTTCTCTTTTGGTCCGCGAAATTGCCTGGGCAAGAACCTGGCGTATGCCGAAATGCGCGTTATCCTGGCAAAAATGGTCTGGCACTTCGATCTCGAGCTTGAGCCGGGGATGGATGACTGGTTGGAGAGGCATAAGCTGTTTATGCTGTGGGAGAAGCCGGCGCTTTTGGTCAAGCTGAGGAGGGTGGTGCGGTAGAACGTTATCGGGCAGTATGGCAGTGCCGGAAGGGAAGATCAATCTAATGTTTGATGGCGAAAGAAGTAGACTGAGATATGATCAGTTTTGGGATGCCGGTGTGGCCAAAACTTGTGGCGATACAGGCTTGGGCATTTCTTAGGTGTGTGGGCGCTTTTGACCGTAGATCTAGAGCCAAAGGAAAGGAAGAAGAAAAGAAAAAAAAGAAAATGAAGTGGGTTTGATTAATCTGCCAATTCATACCCCGTGATGTATCTTATGTTCGACGATAACAGCGCTTGGAAGCATGGGTGTGGAATCTAGCGCGAAAGGACGATTCAGGCTCGTTGTAATTGAGGACGAGTGAGCGCAGACTGAAGTACGCACCACCATAACAAGTGCTCATCAATAAGTGTTCATACATTTTTACTTATGTAAGGTAAAAACCAAGAGTTCGCTTTGTGAAGCAATATACATGAAAAGCTTGACCATCAAATGCTGCGATCATAGCAGTGTAGTGCCAAGTCGAAGGTGCTTGCGCTGATCTGCAATAGACGGGCTACTAAGTGTGCAATGTCGACCAGACCAGCCCAGATCTGGCACAGCGCGAGTTCAGCACTCGTACACGACGCCTTGTTTGAGCAGTTGCACGGAGAGTAGATATTACATTGCTACGCTTATGCTATACATACATGCCTGCATGTGGCCTCGAACGCCCGTCCCACCCATGAGCACGTAACACCCATCGCTTTTTACCCAAACACCTCGCTCAGCAAGTGCAAATCGACGATTTCCCCCATTTTACCCACATGCCCTCATCAAGGAAACATCGGTCCGCACGTGAGCACGTGTCTCCGCGCGAGGACCAGCACCTGCGCGCTCGTTAACCCGAACCGCGTCCCTATCATCATCAGTCTACCGCTCAGCCAGTCACGCTGGGCCTGCGGCACGGTCTCTGCGTTTGCGGCGACATAGAGCGGCCAGACGAGCGAGTAACCGCCGTAGGCTTCTGCGGCGTTTTTCTCCTGGCCTAGTTTCTTGGCGATGGGTTGGAGGTCGTAGTTCTGCGTGGTCTCGTGTCAGCTTTTGGTTTTCCGGACCTGGGAAAGGGAGAGAAGGAAGAGTTCACAGAAGGGGACTTACCATGTGGAACGGGATGCATGCCGATATCTCGTCGACCATCTGCTGGATGACATACACCGCTTTCTCGTAGTCGGCAGTGAGGTTATGCTTTGGATTTACGGCCAGCCACGCCACACAAGCCATGATGACGCGCATGCAGAAGATGCGGCAGACGCGGTAGTCATTCACAATACTAGCAAGCGGCACGTCGTGATACACATGCTGCTCGCCCATCCAGCTCTCCGCCGTCGCCGGATCCTCGACAGGCTCGTTGACGATGCCGATGGTGTGGTAGTGCCACTCGGGGGGCAGCGTTAGGTACCACTGCTGGAGGTTTGAGTCGACGAGCTGAGCGAGCTCGAGGACGGAAAGCGCTTCCTGCTCGAGAGAAGCGTGGTAGGCGGTTTTGGTGAGGGTGTTGGCGCGCGAGCGGATGTTAGGGAGGTCGATGCAAATGAGGGTGAGGCGGTTGGCGGCGTTTTCTTCTGAGAGGGGAGACGCAAGCCAGCCCGTGGTACCGGGGAAGGAGTCGATGGGTTTGGAGCGCTGGACGCAGGATGTGATCTAGACAATGTATTAGGAGGGGGTGGTGTATTTGGGAAATGTATTTACCATCATTGTTCTCACTGCGCGGAAGACATCGTGGCTCATTGGATCGTCGAATTGGTCCATTCCACGTAGTTTTGTCAATGCGACCGCGCCGTCGACATGGTTTCCCCACGCGGTGATGGTGTCATCGGTGCTCATGATGGTCTGTTCACTGTCAGTTTTCAACACGCCCAACGTACACGCTAAAAAGATGGAAAACTACTGAAGACCTTGCTGAAGTAATAAGTCGACTTACTTCATACAAGGAGAAGAGCAACGTCGCCAGTACACTCTCATCGGATTTAGCTAGGTGGGGATGTTTTAGGTCTTCATTGAGTTTGCGGATGGCTTTTCCGTACGTGGTGGCAGCGTCGCGGAGCAGATGCTGTCTTCCGGGATAATTCCCACAGGTGGCAAGGGCTACGGCGCTGGTGGCAAGATGGAGGGCGGACGACGGCTGTGCACGGTTGTACAAGGGGATGAGTAGTTCGAGATAGCCGCGCATGGATTCTGCTTCCTGTGGAAGCGTGATGAAGTTGCGGAAGAAGAACGGGATGGCTTCGAATTCGGGGGCCATAACTATGGTTGGCGGAATGGACTGATCGAACTGCCATAATAAGTCCTGGAAGGTAGACAGGTCGGAGGGAAGGGTAAACGGTGGAGTGAGCGTTAGGCTTTGGCTGGGTTCTGATGTCGGTGGAGCTTGGGATCTTGAGCTTTCGGCTATCGGTGACGCCCTGAGGCTGGCCGGGGTGCCAGGCGATCTGTGGATAGTTAGACGAGTTCATCAAGGATCTACCCAAACCACGCCAGATGCGAGCAAGCCAAACGTATGAGAGCTTGCTCGATTTTCAATGGATGCAGACAGTTGCGCACATGGACCAATTCGAACATGAGCAAACTTACACCGACCGACTCTCTTGGCTCTTCTCGCTCCGACCACTGCCTTTTCTGGCTTTCCTTGCGAGCGCCTTGTTCTCATCTCGGAACATGAGATCAAACTCATCCGGATAGCCAGGACAGGCCCGCCCGCTCTTCTGACATTGGCTGCAAATTGGACGTTTCTCATCACACTGAAACCTGGTCAGTCACATGCATCTCGTGAAGTATGGTCGAACCAAGCAGAACTTGCGATGTCGCACGGAAGCCGGGAGTAAGCGCCGGCCGTGGACGTTATATAAAAAAGCTAGGAGGTCGTCATGAAGTGTAAGCGGGACAACATACTTTTATCCGCCGACTCTTGCACATGCCGCAGCCCTTGGAGGGCTTGCCTGTATAAACCATAGTTCCAACTCTTTCAAAGCCGAAGCACAAACTCAAAGACAGACCCTAAAGAGAATAAGAAGGGAAGCAAAAAGAACAACAAACCAAGAAGCTTGGAGTAACCAGTCCAGTGAACCCACGCAAGAAGTACCACAAGCAGAAGCTATATAACAAGATTCGGTATCTAGATATTTGATGATGCACAGCAGGGCACTCCGCCTCTGACGCACACGAATACCATCAGAACTCGCTCTGCCAAGCGGTTGTCAGTCAGGGCCTACCGCCCTCAATCAGCCCTGGGCAGGGACCCGGAGCACGCGTTCTGCGATATTGGTGCGGCACGATGGTTTGGAGCGCAGGACAAAGCCACACGTGGAGAAAGCCCGCCTCAAACGAATGGTAGTTCCTCCTCGTTCCGCGCGCGCCGGCTGTGACGAGCGCAAAGCTGGGCGGTAGCAGCGGTCAATAGTAAGCGGAACCGGGAGCGAATACACTGGCGGGCCTATGAGGATAAGAGACAGGATACCGAGGGTGTAACAATGCAGAATGCATCTTGGAGCGCGTCGCGCCCCTTCGCAAAGCTCTCTTACGGCTCGTCGTGACGGCGGACAGTGGATTGGCTGCGCTTAGCTTTTTCGCAAGCATGACTGGAATGGGGAAGGCGCGGGGTTTGGGTTCTACCGAACAGTGTGGCGCAGACCGTTAACCTCCTCGACCGACCGAGAGAAAACACCGTGTGGACGTTGGAAACGCTGCTGCCTGATGGCCTGATGCGGTATTCTAGGTTTCCCCTGAGGCACGTACGCAATGCAGACGCGCAATGGGCCCGTATTCGCGAGTTTCGCGGAACGATGCGGCCAAACGGTTGACCAGCTCTAGACGATCGCAACGGCTGTTCCCACCCGGGCCTATCGCTACTGTTGCTGTACGGATTCCTCTACATGGAACACTGACGTAGGAATGTCACTGCCAGGGCCACGCCCTATTTGGCGACAGCGAGACTCGATGGATCCTGACTAGCAGCGGAAGACCGACTGCTCGGCCGTCCGAAGGCTCCATTTCCGCAACACCGGCAATCCGCTCGAATTTCGTGATCCCATGCTCAACCGCGCAAACACGTGGAGCACGGAATCGGAGGAACTCAATCTGCTGTAGGAGATCTCGGCCGGTGTGGCATTGCTCGGCTCTTAGACCCCGGCCTCCTAGAAAATACCGCCTACATGAGTTTCCGCCCCATGTAAGCAAGCGTGGCTGGAGACGGGGCGCATGCGCACGTTTCGTCGCTTTTCTCGACGACATTCGCACGCGCGCTTACTCAGGCGTCGCAAAGTGCTTTCTGCATGTCGACATGCGATTGTGAAGAGGACGCGGTCTGACATGAGGCTGTTGCAGCTGAACTGAAGCTGAGCGGGGACATGGCCGGCGCAGCGTTCTCCGCGTTCGCGTCACGCGAGGCGGTGTATTCCAGTGTCTCATACATGCTGGCCAAATACAATCTCTAATTCAACGGCGATCGACATAGGGCTGCATGGGGACCCTTTTAGCACTGCGAAGCGATCGCCGCTCCAGGAGAACGCTTACACTCTAGCCTCATCACTTGATCGCTCCCTCGTACACCTATACTACACCAAGTTTCCCCATCCACAGTGGATGCAGGGTAAACTCACATTATTTCAAAACGACCATCGCAAATCTGCCCGAGTTCCCAGGCACCTACTACCATTGTCATCTATTGTTAATTCATCATGGTGTTCCCATAGTCAAGCAACTCAGATCAGTGGCCCACATCCCCATAACCTAGGACCACCCTCATAATGGCCTTTTAATTCACTACCAAACTATTCGCCACTTCTCTCATGTCTGTCACTGACAAAGTAATTGTTTCCAATTGACCAACGACAGTCACGGCGGAAGCCAGCGCGTCGGCAGCAGTCTACCACGTCCGGCCTCGCGCCAATGGTACTCACCTTCAGCTTCGCGGCGGGTTTCCCACTCACTGCGGCAAGAGTCGTTGCCCAGGTGAAGGTGCAACGACACCAGCGCAATCTCCCGCCGTCGACTTTGATTACCGCTCGTCGCTCCAAACCTTTCTCACCCCGTTGCACCTCCATCTTCCTGCCACGCACAGCGCGACAACACTGACACATCTCCGCAACAGCTTACTCTTCCATCGCAACCCTATCCGCTTCCCAGAGCAGCTACACCTGCGCCTTCATCATGTCCGACACCGAGAAGAACTCCGGCGCCGGCAAGGCCAATTCGGGCTGGACGGACAAGGAGCGAGTGCGTAGTCAAAGCAATTCACCAAGTGCAAAGTCTTGGTCACTAACCGCGCAATAGCTCGTCTACTTGATCGGTCTCCTCGAGAACTCGGGCACCAAACTCGACTTCAAGGTACGCGGGTCCTGGGTCCTCGATCGCACCTTCCCTAACGCATGCAGAACGCCCCGCGCCCCAATGGTCGTAGCGAGATCGCGTGCGAGCGCATGGTCGGCCGACTCAAGACCGCTTACAAGGCCGAGCTGGACGCACTGAAGGCAGGCCAGCACTTGGACGGCGGCGACGCTGCGACCCCAAAGAAGCGGGGATCCAAGGCCAAGGGAACTGGTGGCGACGACGAGGGTACCCCCAAGACTCCGAAGCGCAAGGGCAAGACGGCTGTCGAGGACGGCGGCTCCCCCAAGAAGAAGGGCAAGAAGACGGATGCGACGGCGGAGGTCAAAGATGAGCTTGCCATGGTTTGATGGCATTGTGGTGCGGGTGTGAGCACGCCGTTGGACCACACCTTTTGCTACTGCGGCTATTGCTGCTATAAGGGATCGTGAGGTCTGAGGTCTCTCGCTGAGCGTCTACCTGTGACGGCTTTTGGTATGTGACATTGGGAGGGTTGTCGACTCGACCTCGATACAATTCAAAAGCATCCAAGGTCCGTTCTGCATTGCGTGCATCTCGTTAGCTGTGTGCAGTGCCAGCCCGCTGCAAGAGCGCGGAGCGGAAGTCCCGCTCGGACCGGCGAGTGAACCCTGATGCCTGCGCGCTCTGCTGCAGGCGCAGGCCGACCAGGTTGCAGGTGGCCGATTGCAGCGCATCGCAAAAGAAAGAGTTTGACGTCGCTCCTTTGGTCCAGCTGCTGCAGTGATAGCCTCGAGCGTGTCCAGGCAGATTCACAAGCGACTGCGCGACCGTCCGCGCATCGATGCTTAGCCGGCAAACTCGTTCAGTGGCCGTCAAAAGAAGTTTCGCAGCGCGCCTCGCCGCCGCCTCCTCCACCGCACTCTGCGCCCGCGCCCGCGCATTCCACCCCGCTGCTCGCACATCCTCGCCTCTGCAGTCTTCGCTCGCTGGCGCCTTCCGTCACCTGCACCTTGCGCCGCACCTCGTCACCCAACGCCGTCGCTTCACCACGGACCCCATGCCGGCCGAACACCATGGCGAGCACGACACCCGCTCCAAGCGCAAGCAGCCGCCCACGCCCTCGAGCGAGCGGCCCATGAAGCAGATCAAGCCCGAGGCCACCCACGCCCGCAACGGCACCTACGCTGCTGCCGAGTCCGAGCCCCTCGCGCGCGACCAGTCCCCGACGCCCAGCATGGACATTGACGAGTTTGTGCCGCCGCAGATTGCCGCCGCGGTCCACGACACGGCCGAGTGGCAGAGGACCATCGAGACGGTCGTGAAGAGCGTCGTGTCCATCCACTTCTGCCAGACGTGCTCCTTCGACACGGACCCGGCGGTTGCGAGCGAGGCCACGGGCTTCGTTGTCGACGCCGAGCGCGGATACATTCTCACAAACAGGGTTGGTTTCCCTGCATGCCACGCCGCGGGAAGAGATTCGCTGACGAGACACAGCACGTCGTCGGAGCAGGGCCCTTCATCGGCTACTGCATCTTTGACAACCACGAGGAGGTAGGCATCTCTGCCACACCACCGCGGACCCGCTGACAACTAGCAGTGCGATGTCTTCCCCGTCTACCGCGACCCCGTGCACGACTTCGGCATCCTCCGCTTCGACCCCAAGGAGATCAAGTACATGCCCGTCACCGCGCTCGAGCTGCACCCTAAGAAGGCACAGGTCGGTGTCGAGATCCGCGTCGTTGGTAACGATGCCGGCGAGAAGCTCAGCATCCTGTCGGGTGTCATCAGTCGGCTCGACCGCAACGCGCCCGAATACGGCGAGGGCTACTCGGATTTCAACACAAACTACATTCAGGCTGCAGCCGCCGCAAGTGGTGGCAGTTCGGGCAGTCCGGTGGTCAATGTGAACGGCCACGCGGTCGCGCTACAGGCTGGCGGGAGAGCCGACGGCGCTGCGACCGACTACTTCCTGCCCCTCGACCGGCCGTTGCGCGCGCTGGAGTTGATCCGGGAAGGCAAACCCGTGTCGCGAGGCACCATCCAGACGCAGTGGATACTAAAGCCCTTTGACGAGTGCCGCCGCCTCGGCCTCTCGCCGGACGTGGAGAAGGCTGTGCGAACACAGTTTCCAAAAGAGACGGGCATGTTGGTGGCCGAAGTCGTTCTCAAGAATGGTCCCGCGTCAAAACACGTCGAGGAGGGTGACGTCCTGGTCAAGGTCAACGGCGAGCTTCTCACCCAGTTCGTGCGCCTGGACGCTGTCTTGGATGATAGTGTTGGCGGCAAGGTATCTCTTACCATACAGCGTGCAGGCGAGGACCTCGAAGTGGAATTGGACGTTACCGATCTCCATGCTATCACTCCGGACCGATTCATATCCGTGGCGGGTGCCTCCTTCCACGACCTTTCCTACCAGCAGGCCCGATTGTACGCCATTTCGCTCGAAAACGCCGGTGTCTACGTGTGCGAAGCTGCTGGCTCTTTCCGTTTTGCTGAAGGTTTCACATCTGGATGGCTCGTCCAAGAGGTCGACAACCAGCCCACGCCCAATCTGGAGGCGTTCATCGAGGTCATGCGGAAGATTCCGGACCGGAAACGAGTCGTCATGGTGTACAAGCACCTGCGCGATCTCCACACCGCCAACACCAGCATCACTACCATCGATCGGCATTGGCACGCAAAGATGAGGGTCGCCAAGCGAAATGACGAGACTGGTCTTTGGGACTTCACTACGATAGCCGATGCTATTCCCGCTGTACCCAATGTTCCTCGGAAAGCGAACTTCATCAAGCTCACTTCGAACTTCCCTGCTGCCGTGGACATCATCCGCAGCTTCGTGCGCGTGCACGTTCACATGCCGATCAAGCTCGACGGTTTCCCCAAGAGCAACAAGCAAGGCTACGGTGTCGTCGTGGATGCTGAACAGGGTCTCGTCCTCGTCTCGCGAGCTCTCCTTCCCTACGATCTTTGCGACATCTCCCTCATCATCGCAGACTCAATCTTTGTTGACGCAAAGGTTGTGTTTATGCACCCTCTCCAGAACTACGCCATCATAAAATACGACACGTCACTCGTCAACGCGCCGGTCAAGACACCCAAGTTCGCGACTGAATTCATCAAGAAGGGTGACGAGACCATTTTCTTCGGCATGAACCAAAACTTCAGGCCGGTTGTGACCAAGACAAGCGTTACGGACATCAGCACCGTAGCGATTCCTGCTAGCGCCGTTACGCCAAGGTACCGCGCTACCAACTTCGACGCCATCACCGTGGACACGAACCAGGCCTCGCACAGCCACTCCGGCGTGCTGGTCGCCGAAGATGGCACAGTGCAAGCGCTCTGGCTTTCCTACCTCGGCGAGCGCACCTCGCAATCCGGAAAAGACGTAGAGTACCACCTTGGCCTCGCGGTTCCCATGATCCTACCCGTCCTCGAACAGATTAGGAGCGGAAAGACGCCTAAGCTACGCATCCTCAACGTCGAGTTCCAGACTGTGCAGATGAGCCAGGCCAGAGTAATGGGCGTGCCGGAAGAATGGATCGAGAAGACGGAGCACGAGGATCCGGAGCGGCATCAGCTGTTCATGGTGCGCAAGGTGGACTCTGGACACGAAGGCGGCCTCATGGAGGGCGACGTCCTGCTCACGCTCAACGGCAAGCTTATCACGCGCGCCCCGGACCTCGACGTCATGTATGACCACGACTTCCTAGACGCCGCCATCGTGCGCAAACGCCAGGAAGTCACCCTCAAGGTGCCCACCGTCGCGACTGAGGACCTCGAAACCGCGCGCGTCGTCAACTTCTGCGGCGCCACCCTGCACCGCCCGCACCAGGCTGTCCGCCAGCAGATTTCCCGCATCCACTCGGACGTCTACATCTCCTCCCGCTCGCGCGGCAGCCCCGCGTACATGTACGGCCTCGCGCCCACCAACTTCCTGACTCACGTCAACAATGTGCCCACGCCCGACCTCGACAGCTTCCTGCGCGAAGCCAAGAAGATCGCCGACAATGAGTATTTCCGCCTCAAGGTCGTTACCTTTGACAATGTGCCGTGGGTCGCGACGATGAAGAAGAACGAGCATTATTTCCCGACTATTGAGTACCTCAAGGACAGCGAGGAGGAGTTGGGCTGGAAGAAGATTATTCATGAAGCGGATGCGGGTGGTGCGAGGGAGGAGATTGCGCCGGCGGAGGTGGAGGGGGGTGGGGAGGGTGACGACTAGAGCAGCAGATGTGTAATTGTACGTGTTTTGATGAGAAGCACCGAGGAAAGGAGAAAGAGGATGTGAGATACCCGCGCTGGGCGAGAGGCGTTGGACGACGTGCTGAATCTGCATCTGCATCTGCATCGGCGATATGGCATTGGGGCGTGTAGGATAGATATATGGTACCATATGCATACATACTCGTTGAAGTCATCACCGTGACCGCTATCTACCTTGCCCGCTCCCTATCGCTCACCATCGCGGGGATCCCACCCGACAGTGTCGCGCGTACACAGGCCAACAACACTTCGGTTACAACCTGTCCCGCGAGGTGTTGTGATAATCCACATCGATCTCAGAGTAGGTGGAGTAGCGTCGTCACACATATGGACTTGGTGTTGAAGAAGTGCCTAGTAAACCTCAATATCGTGGAGTGTAGATACTACATATTGTGCACTAACATTGTCCCAATCTAGCACGCACAACGCGCTTCTTCGGCAGATAAAACACCAACCAGTAGCTCTTGTCTGTCTAATCCCTCTGCAATCAAGTCCCAAGTTAACCTTCCAAAAACCCCAGGAGCCACTATCAACCCAAGACACAAAACTCTTCCTATCCGAATCCAGCTTACCCGATTCAGAGATGCCCTTCCTCGCAGGTCTCGAGACCGCAGCTCTAATTAGCGGTCTCGCCCTCTCATCCGGCATCGCCATCCCCTGGATCACGACCGTGGAGAGACGCGAGTTGCGCGACGAGAACGCGGCGCTGCGTGCGCAGGGCCGGCGCGAGATATCATATGGGAAGTACCTTTGGCGGAAGATTTGGCATGGGGAGAAACTCTCTCGCGTGACTGGTGGTGATGTCGAGAGTGAATAGGGGGAGACGGTGAAGGTTGATATGACTGGGATGCCCGGTGGTGGACAGACGACTTTGGGGATGGATGGGGAGGGCATGTTGGTTGTGGTGAAGGGCGGTAAGCGGATGGCGGGTGTTTGATGTACAGTTTGGTGATGTGGGGCTAGTTTGCATACCAAGTAGTGGCAGGAGTTGTGAGAATATTTGTTCTTTTCTAGTCCTGTTTCTCTTGGTGTCATTTGTGCTTCTACTCTTACTCCTAAATTGATTTATTCATTACGCAACAGCGACATCTGCGGATCTGATGGTTTTAATGGAACAAGGAGGCTTTTAGTCTAATGAGTGGCGGCTCCACATCAGTGTGCGGGCACCGAAAGAGGTTCTCTTAGCCAACGACATATTTGACGAGTTGTAAGTACACACTCCTAGCACGACGTTTGATAGGCCTGAAGGAGAAATACGGCAAATCCTGACCCTTTTTTAAATGTGAGACTGTTTCCCCAATGCGAAAAGGCTGCCTACCTCCACCTTTGGGAGCCTACAGGGTGAAACATGGAAATGCGAAAGAGCGAATGGCATGTCACAGTTATGTACCATCGAAGGCTGGACTTGAATGACTGATAAGGTATGGTCGTGGACGATAGCATATGCATGGAGTGTGCCACTGTGAATTGGACTTCCCGCCCTCCAACACCAGCCCTGAAGAAGAGACTTGAGCACCTGCAACAATTGAAACATGTCTGCGGGTGATGAAGTTCGATGCTGTGCAGTTCGCGCACCTTTCCAGGTCGAACTTGTCCAGAAATGCAAGGCGAGAAAGCGGCGTATGCTGTACTGGGGTTATGCCGTATCCTGGGCGCGGCATAAGCCAAATCGAGCAGTCCTGACGGGAAGAGGCCGCTCCTCCCCCGGGCTTAGATCGCCACGACGAGCAGCCTCGTATATAGCAAGCATGCCCCCGAACGCTAGCTGCAGCAGCGTCATACTTTAGACAATTTGGCCTTTGCCCACATTCACGACCGCCGCGGCGCCACGACAGGTATGGGCACCTTCCTGGACTACCGTTGCATACTTTACAACGACCGATTTCTATTCATTCAATTGGTCCCGCGTCTACGGTCCGACCGCGATTGACAAAGCCACGTGAGACGATTTCTTTGTTTGTTCTTGCAGAAGAACCTCCACAAGCTGGCTTTGTTACCGAAGTTATCTCTCTGAAACGGAATGAAATCGCCGCTTTTCTTGCGCTTCGTCGAAATATTCTCTCCAACCGAGAACACCGCCCCATGCGGCAAAACGCTTTTTATTCACGTGAACTGACGACCAATAGCAAGCTGAGACAGAGCTGAACGAGCGTCCGTGAGTGGTGGAGCCAACACGTGGGGAAGAGGCTTGAGGCCGTTACAATGCATGGCATGTCGCGGATTGCTTGCCGCCCGCTAGTTGTAGCGGTGGTGGCGGACTGGGTGATGTTTGGTCATAGCGGGTACGGTGCACATGTGCTACCAAGATATATTGTGCGTGTCCTTAGGCTTGCGATCATAACTGGGCGTGCCTCATCAACATGTTCATTACATTGAAGTGCAACAAGGACAGTATTTCTGTGGAACAGTCAAGTGCAAGCACTGCTCAAGGGACACGCCCTCGACATGCCGCTTGCTACGAGTGTCGCGTGAAGAAGGTTTGTATGAGATGTTTGCATCTGCAGTGGCTAATTTGCTAACTGTGCTCAGCTCAAATGCTCTGGAGACAAAGGTGGCTGTGCTGGATGTTTATCGAATAAACTTGAATGCACTTATAATCCACCTCGCAGAGTCGACAATAGTGCTACGAGAAGATCACGAAGACGTTCTCAGGCTCAAAGCCTTGGAACTTACAGTATGCATACGCGGCCGCCCTCTGCACGGTCCAGAGATCCCTCAACGCCTCGTCTATCTACGTCTTCATCTACAACATCGATAGAACTTGATCTTGACCGATTATCTTGGCCAAAGCATACGTTTCCGGCTCCGGAAACAACAGAAAATTTTCTGGACGCTTTCTGGAAGCAAATTTCAGCTAGCTCGGAAGATCGCTTGAGAGAGGGTGCTTCCCCTCTCTTTCCGACCACTGACGCTGGGCATGATCTCCTTGATCCTGCAGAATTTTCACCAAGTAGGTGGTTTTGCATTGTCTTTTGGAGCTTAATAACACATATAGGTGAAGAAATACTGCACTCAAATTCGAATGATGCACTCACAGCACTGTCTTCGGACTTGTTCGGCGATCCGAGCCTGTCGCTTGCTTTTTCCAACCCGGGGCACCCACACACCGACGCCTCCAGCATGCTTATGCAACCGGCAAGCGAATTGGACACTATATCCGGTGCTAAAACTCAAGGAACGGCATTAAGTAACGCAAGTGGTGGCAGCTGTCGCTGCATGACTGATGCACTTACTATCCTAGACGAACTCGAAGCCAGAAAAATGGAAACGTCACCTTATGTCACACACACCGTATCTGGCATACTGTCAGCGAACAAAAGTGCGTTGTGGCAATGCGACAGGGTAATCGAGTGCCCAACATGCCCGTACCGGCCCGGATGCGTCCTGCTACTGATCCTGATATGTCGCAACCTCGTCTTCCAATTCCAACAACTTATCTCAGCCGAACTGAGTTCTCAAGGTCGACAGAGTCCGCCAATCAGTCCCTCCGACAGCAGGACCGATGCTTTGGGCCAGTACTCTATCGACACTTCGGAAGAGCAGCTTCAGGTCCTGTATGCACTAGCCATGGTACGGGGCAAGAGCTTGTCAAGGTTCTTAGGAAGGTTGAAGAGCTTAGTGTGCTTTCAGTCGGGGGCGACATCGCATAGGGAGAAGATCGAAAGCATTGAAAATTGGCATCGCAGTCTTATGGGGCGGCTGAAGCAAATGAGCTACGGATACATGTAGGCACAATTGCAGCTATAGTAGTCACGGCTATCTAAAGAGCAACGAAGACAACAATCATCAACGGCAGACCAGGCATCCCGATCCATGCTAATTTTCTTCTGAGAATGCCTTAACAAGCCAACTACATCAATACACTTTGACTGCCTTCGCCTTTGGCTTGGGTTTCGAGCCCCTGCTCAGGATGTTGGCCCATCACAATCTATAACATGAAAACACTAAGGTTTATATAGAGAATTACGGGCTGTTTGTCTGCGAATTCCCGATGTGGACAGCATGGAACAAGATCTGGCTCGGTTCCTGAGGCGTAGACGCCCTACGCGAATCATGAACTCCTTAACATCTCTGATCTCGTCCCAAGCGCCAAGTCTGTACGCAATTCGGGGACTTCCTCTCCAGTTCTAGTGACCTGACCTTTCCGGAGGTTTCTTTTTCGAGTAGTGGCACAGAATGCGCCAAGATCACACGCCTAAAGCAAGAGCATCATTCAGGCTGCACGAGATACTAAATCTTGCAACCTGTTGACTTGTCTTATGGTATCGAAGATGATTCGCGCTGCATTGATACGCAAACCGAGCACCATCGAGAGCACCTACCCTTGAGAACGTTCTGCGCGAGGTATCGTTAAGCTCTCTCTTAGTAAATTTCAGATCGAATTGGCGCACTCTATCAAATGATATACTGCTATTTTCTACGTATCACGGAGTCATTTGCAATATATGGGTCCATATGTGTAGATAAATGTTTATAGCACATTTGACATATAAAGCCGATCCAGTGGCTTCCGCATGTCGCTCAAGACATCATGCATATACATCCGTACTATGGGAATTCTCGAAGAACGACCGGCCAGAAGGTGACGTGCCCGGGATCTCTGCAATGCAAACATTGTCAACGACCAAATGGGGGAGGGCTTGGGGCTACCCCAAAAAAGCATGGCAGCCTCAAGTTAATCCTTGCAGCTACGTTTGAAGCAACCCCCGGCTGTGCAAATGGCCTGTTTCAATAGCACAGCATAGCGAATTCCATCTAAATTATGCCGGACAGAAGATTCTGCGTACGCAAGTATCACGACAAATTGCTCCCCATGGCCGTATCTGTCTCTCATTGTGCTTCGCTGCTTTTCGGTGTAGCGTCGTTTCTATTGTACTTTGTGCGGGGGGAACATCATTTATACGTCAAGTTTTACATCAAAATCTTGATAGCCACTGTAGCTCTCACATCACTCGGACACGCTGGTCTAAACGAAATTAACATCCTATCAGCAGTCCTTGAAGTATCAGGCGAAGCCGGCTATTTTCTCCTTGGGCTTTACGGAGCTCGCTCTTTATATCGCCTCTTGTTTCACCCACTTCAAAAATTTGCCGGACCTGTAGGTGCAAGGATTACAAGTTTCTGGCTCTCGTGGCGAGTGCGTCACCTCGATACATTTCGACAGCTCAAAATTCTGCACGATCAGTATGGCCCTTTCGTGCGGATCGGACCAGACAATTTATCTATTTCTAATCCAAAAGCCGTCCAGGCCATCTATGGGTCTGGATCAAAATGCACGAAGAGCTCCTGGTACGACTCAACTTGGCCCATGGTCTCGCTCAACACGATGAGAGAGAAGAAGCTTCACGACGAGCGACGGCGCACCTGGAGTCCTGCCTTTGGTGAGAAGGCTCTTCGCGGCTACGAGCAGAGGCTTCGTCTGTACCGCAACAGACTCATTAGCCATCTCATTGAGTCTAACGGAGCTGGCATCAATGTCACTCAATGGTTCAATTTGTTCAGCTTCGATTTCATGGGCGACTTGGCTTTCGGTCGGTCCTTTGATATGCTGGAGCTGAACCAGGAGCACTGGGTTATCAAACTACTAGATGAAGCTCTCCAGCCACTTGGTTACGCATTGCCAGCCTGGCTCTTCCAGATTTTGACATCGATACCTGGCGTTACAAAGGATTGGTGGCGATTCGTTGACTTCTGCGCTGAGCGCATGGACGCACGACTCAAAGTAAGATTCATGGCGCGTCTGGTCATATCATTACTAACGGGGAGCAGACCAAGGTAGACGTCCCTGATATAATGTCGGCGCTTTCAGCTCCTTATAAGGGCGGTCTTCCAACAAACGAGGATTGGCGGGTCTTGAGGGGAGATGCGCAACTGATCGTTGTTGCTGGCAGGTAACCTTCACTTCCCTAGCAAGCTACACTTACTGGGGGATATGCCAGGACTAACGATCACTAGCGATACAACTGCGACCACACTTTCCGCGGCGCTCTTCCAACTCGCGCAACATCCGAAATACATCAAGAGGCTCCGCACTGAGCTCGCACCATACATGACCGAACTTGTCGGCGATATTCTGAACGAACGCATCGCAAAATTGGACTGTCTCAACGCTGTCATTTACGAGACACTGCGGCTACATCCGCCCGTGCCGTCGCTGCAACCGCGAAAAACACCACCAGAAGGGATCGTTATCGACGGAATGTTCATCCCTGGCGATACCGTGGTTTCTTGCCCTCAATACGTTATTGGAAGAAGTGAGTACATGCTTTGCATATTTGGAACACCACTGACGAAATAATCTGAAACAGGCGCAGCGGCATATGAACAGCCCGAATATCTCATCCCCGAGCGATGGTACTCATCACCATCCATGGTGAAAGTCAAGAGTGCATGGGCACCATTTTCGGTTGGTAGGTTTCCATTTCCATATCTCTTCCTAGTGACAAAGCTAACCATCTACTTGCAGGTCCCTACGGATGTATCGGAAGGCCACTGGCCCTCCTCACTGTGCGAACAACACTTGCGAGAATCGTCACAACCTTCGACATCTCGTTCGCGCCTGGTGAGGATGGCGGCGACTTTGAGAGTAAAGCCCATGAGAGGTTCACGATCGGGTTTGGTGACTTGAAGATTTCTTTCAAGCTGCGTGAATTAGTCGAAAGTCTGCCTGGAGGCACGAGCTCAACCTAGTGGTGGTGAATCTAGAATGGATGGAATGTTTTGCCAGTCATTGACATGCTCGTGTGATTCAATGTGGGCGAGTCACACGGAGCCACGTCCGTGGATTTCAAAGAACTAGTCATTGCAATGGAGCAGCAGATTGCCTCGTTTCAGAAGTCGCAGAGACTGCCACTCATGCGTCCCTGCTCACTGATACACGTAGCTTAATGGATGTAGAGGAGCCAGTTGTGCATCCGAAGCTGGTAACCCGTCCCCTGTAAGAAAACCAGCATCCCCCTAGAATGTGTACAGTTCGATTAGATTACAACAAGGCCGGACATTGCTGGAAGTGGCAGAGGCAAGCGCGCGTTTCATGTGACAGCCTGACCCGCGATACTTTGCTTTGCCTGTCACTCGAAGGAGCAGGATCTTAGATGCTGCATGTTCCAGAACCGCATAAGCCGAGTGCAGGTGGCGATTGCATGTATTAAACGCATATTCCGTCTTAATTAAGGGAATTCGTAGGCGGCAATAACGAAAGAGAAATGTCCGCGGCGCCGTGTTGGTCGTACTGTATAACAGACCTACATGTACCTCTTCAGCGTTTTATTGTGCTTCAATTTCTACAGGAAGCTACGATTCCACGACAGCTGCATCTTTCCAGTGGCTCGGAGTCTTTCGCTTTTGAAGTTGTCTCTTTTGCTGCTGCGTGGCAATTCCGCCCGGACGGAACCAAGGCAAAAATCTATCCAGCCATGGCCCACCAGAACGAGAACGTGAAGGCCGGTAACCTGACCCAACCTCGAAAGAATGGACAGCAACAGCGCGCCACTGTAAGATCCCCACCCTATAGCAAAACCTCATCTCCATTGTAACTCCTTCAGGTCAAACCCCACAACCCCTGGTCCCCCCTCTATTTCGCCCGGACGCTCTGGCTTTTCACCGAAAGCGACTTCCTCTCCTTCGTAGGCCCGAACGCGCTCTACGGCCTCGCCACTGCCCTAGCCGGCGCACCCCTAACCACTACCGAGTGTCCTGATCTTATACATATCCTAGTGCGCTTCCCAAGGGTGGTACTCTGGAACTACCTCGTCCTTCTGGTTTCCGTGCTCGCCAACCAGAAAAGCTTTGAAGGCGCGATGGAGGACGCAATCAACAAACCCTGGCGCCCGATCCCCTCTAGCCGCATCACCCGTGATCAAGCCCGTATGCTGCAGCTATTCACGATGCCCTTCGGGATGGGGATGAATTATTTCCTTGGTGCTTGGGAGGAGACGGCGTTGGTTTACAATCTGGCGTGGATGTACAACGATCTTGGCGGAGGGGACAACTGGATCATCCGCAACATCATTCTCGGGCTGGCGCTATCGCAATTTAACAAGGGCGGTATGCGCGTCGCGGCGGAGATTCAGGGGGTCCAGATTCCCGAGTCCTCGTGGTGGTGGCTGTTTATCACAAGCATGATCCTCGCGACCACGTTCCAGGCGCAAGACATGAAGGATCAGGAGGGCGACCGTGCGCGGGGGAGAAGGACGGCGCCCTTGGTGATTGGGGATACCGCCGCGAGGTGGACTATTGCAGTGCCGGTCATGGCCTGGTCATTTGTGTGTCCGCTGTTCTGGGGGCTCAATTGGGTGGGGTATGTATTGCCCGTTGGAGTCGGCGCACTCGTGTCGGCCCGGTTCGTGATGCTGCGGGGCTTCTGGGCGGACAAGAAGACATGGTGGCTATGGACGTTTTGGACGGCGATCATATGGTTTGTGCCGCTGTTCAAGCACTACGGTGTGTTCGTGCGGTTCGCGCGGAGGTTTGGACTGGAGTTTGCGATCGAAAGGCAGAGCTCGGGTTTGCAATGAGGCATCGAAGAGGAGCATTAGTTGCGTTTGCAGGATGTTGGAGATGGGTCGTTGATTAGGCCTCGGGTTCCCTGTGGACCAATCCGAGTTGTTTATCGCTGGTTGTCGATCAAGAGATGTACCGGTATTGACCGGCGCCTCTCTTCGAATGTCTTTGTTGTGAATGATTTCAGGTAGTCCATATACATTCCTGCCCAACAAGGACACCATGGCACCTTCACACCACGGACGTGAATTCAAAGTAAGAACGGTGCGCGGGGTAGTGGCTGTACTACTTTAGTGTGTCGGGTACGGGAGGAGTGGGGTCTATGTCCGCACGTTCCGCCACATCCACTCATGCTCATGTTCCTCGTATACAAGAATCCAAGATAGTTCAAGGCATAACGCAAGCTCCAGTACTTTCTTACTTGGCTAAGACTCCTCAGTCTCCAACATACGGCCTGGACCAGATCTCAAGCTGTCGCCTCAGGAATACAATCTTCCTCTGCGCAAATACACAGCCCAAATGACGGGAACTATCAGAGTCGCAGCCTGTCACGTCGCGGCAAAATTCCTCTCCGCGCGAGAAACCACCCAAAAAGCACTATCGCTTATCCAACGTGCCTCTCTGAACGACGCAAACTTGGTAGTTTTCCCGGAGACATATATCCCCGCATTTCCTATCTGGAGCGCGCTCCGGCCTCCGACGCAAAACCATGCCTTGTTCCAGAAGATGGCCGCTGAATCCGTATACGCCGATGGGGATGAAGTTCGCGCAATACGTGCCGCTGCTCGCAAATCTCAGACCTATGTAAGCATCGGTATTTCAGAGAAAGTTCACTACAGCGTTGGTTGTCTCTTCAACTCAAATCTTCTCGTCGGTCCCGATGGCGCGGTTCTAAATCACCATCGCAAGCTGGTACCTACCTTTTTTGAGAAGCTTACGTGGGCCCCGGGAGATGGGCATGGTCTTCGCGTGACAGAAACGCCCTTCGGGAAGATCGGCGTCTTAATTTGCGGCGAGAATACCAACCCGCTTGCCCGGTATGCATTGATGGCGCAGGGTGAACAGCTGCATATTTCTACGTGGCCAGCTGTGTGGCCCACCCGGGTGGACACAATTGGCAACGAAGGCACCAACAAGGGAAAAAACTACGATAATGTGACCGCAAACAGGACGAGGGCTGCAGCCCACTGCTTCGAAGCCAAGGCATTCGGAGTACTCTGTTCTGGACTCTTAGATGAGCCTGCTATAGATTTAGTAGCGTCTGGGGCTCCAGATCCAGAAACAATTAAGAAAGTCTTGAAGGATGCTCAAGGGGGCGCGACGATGTTCTTAGACCCTACTGGTGCGCCCTTGATTGGCTTTACTGTCAACGAGACCACCGGCGAAAAGCAAGACACCGATATCTTGCAGAAGGAAGAGGGTATTCTGTACGCTGATCTGGACTTGTCAAAATGTGTGGAGGGGAAGCAATTTCACGATGTCGTGGGTGGATACCAAAGACATGATGTCTTTGAGCTGAATGTAACTCGCGACAGGCAGAAGCCGATTCGCTTCCGCGGTCTGGCACCGGATTTGACTGCGAAATAGGGTCAGCGAATGGGTGTTGACAAGGACGGAACGACCATGTAGGCACATCAATCGTCAAAGGACATCACAGGCCCCTTATCTTGCGAGCATACGCCCAAGTCAATGGATGAGAAGTAACGGTTGTAAAACGTACACCACGATGTCAAAAACCAATTTTTAGAAGCAGTCGAAGATAAGCGTACGCGCTTTTCTTTTTGTTTGGGGGGGGGGGGGGGGCAGTACCCAGCTCTTAGCTACCTAACATCACTGGTCGCTCAACTGCGCGTGACGCTGGGAGTGGCGCCCTTACCACTACGTAGTGATATAACTTACTGCCCTTCCTGAAGCTTGTTCTATTTTGGTCTCAACCATTCTTTTTCCTTGCCGTTGCGCTCCCGCACCGTGTTTAGTCCTCAGGACTACAATGTGTACGAAGCCTTGACACCCACACATGATACATTGTGGAAGACAAATACTATAACACCAAAAGGTTTCAATGCCGCTAAAATGCGCAAGCGCTCGCTCGAATTTTCATGCGCAGGTTGTATGGTATTCGCTGACTCGCGTTACAAGGTGTAACATGCACACTAGGCTCTTCCAAGTATAGTGTTTCGTGTCTCGTGTTCGTAACCTTCCAAGGTTAGAACAGGCTGCAAGCCTTCGACTTACATGTTCTCTGGGCATTGCATTAATCTATCTTGCATTGGGTTTCCAGGGGGTGTCCGGCCTCGTCGCGACGCTGTACACCGGCGCGCTTTCATCGTCGTTGCAGGACATTTGCAAGTCTCTTTTTGATTACAATGATTAGAACGTTTGTCATTGTCGGATTCCCCTGAAACCGCTACGTTTTGTAGGCTGGGGCGACAAGAAGATGGTTCCTTGGGAGCTGGGACGATTTTTCAGATACGATGGTGCTCATCTAGGCGCAGATACACAGCTTTTGTGGCGTTCTTGCCTCGTCGCCTGCTGATATATCCATACTAACGACACTTCATCCATTGGTCCTTCCCACCTGCGATTATCACTGAGAGGCCGGAAATCAATCTCAGACAGTTCAACTGCATCTTGGAGCATGAAAACGTTATAGGGTAACGAACGGCTGGACGGGGTTGCAGTTGCAGTGTGTGGGTTACAACCCTATTTTTAGCGACACAGGTCTTGGTCTAAACCGTGATCATGCCAACATATAACTCCCAGAAAATTCTGATTGGCTCATTGAGACCGGAAACATTCCAAAATTGGGCAATCGTCCTGGAGACGAATATAGCTTCCTGAGATGGAACGCTCTGAATTGAGGTATTTGGATATCTAGCCTCACGTATTCCGGTTGGCCGCTAATTGTGAAGTAGATGCGAAAATACTTTCATGCCTCGGACCATTCCCTATCTTTTACTGAACATCGAGCCCACCAGGTGGATCTCCACGCAAGATGCTGGCTCAAACGTCAGGAACTCAATTCGGCCCCAGCGAGGAGTTTGAGCTTGAAACAATTAACAAAGGCAAAAGTATCATCACCGAACATGTTCAGGAAAACACTTCGGCGCAACGGGAACTCAAGTCCTTTGATGGATCGTTGCTATCAGTATGGCTTTCAGCCTTCCTCGCTTTGGCGCTTCTGATCCTCACTTCTGTCTACGCCGGAAACTCGTCACTTCTCGCCGGACATCGGAGCTTTGGACGGTCACCCAGCAATGTATTGCTCGTCTTGAGAGTCTTATCCGAGTTAGCAGGTGTTATGCTTGCTACGACCATCGCCGGCACACTCGAAGTGTTACAATGGATGCTCATTAGCCGTGAAGGAGGAAAGAAAGGAATGAGTTTCACTGACTATTTAGTCATGAATGCTGGTACTGGGGTCCCCGGACTTCTTCGACTGGCCTTTGGACGCGGCATACCAAAGTTGAGTAGCCGATTCTGGAGTATGGCTAGGCTTATTGGCATTGCGATGGTCCCGTTGCTAAACGTCGTGATCATGAGTACGTGAGTCCGATATACCACATAGAGCGCGACTGATGTTTGCTTAGGTGACGTGAGCACAGCCATCACTTACGACAAGCTCACCGATAAAGCACCCGTATATGGTTATGGAATCGGCATCTTCAACGCTTCTCTAGCTGCGATTTGGCATCCGATGGCCGACATGATGTTCTCGACCAATTTTATGTACTTCCTAGCGGATGGAGCTCGCGTGGTCGACATCACCGCCCCAGATGCACGGAAACGATGCAACAGTGGCGAAGACGGCTGTGAGGCGTCATACTTCGTTTCTGGTGGGAGTGGGGATTTCGCCCCGGCACTGCTGGCGAGTGGAGGATCACGGGGAGCTGACGCTTTCCTTGCCGAGTCTCAGCCTGGTTTTGTTTTCGATTACACCGATGGGAAGCATGACTGGCAATTCTCGGATAGCGATTGCAGCGTATTCGGTGCCGACATCGCTGCATGGGGACTTTGCCTTAAAGATGGGGAGGCCGAGAACGAGATCCGCGCTCGGTTGATTGATTGCCCTGCAGATGTTGCATCGATGTTTAAATGTCAAACTACAAGATCGTGGTTGAGGAATCCGGGTTTCTCATCTTCATTGCACTCCTGGTATCGGTAAGTGCCCCAATGGCGTTCATCACATATATGTTAAGGCTCACAGTAACGTGTACGTAGTTCGGCGGAAGTTGCTTACAGTCGAGTTAACGATTCCATCTTAACGCACTCATTCGATGATTCAACTCCCCGCTCGCCCGCTAGGATACCTGCATCTGAACTTCTGAAGGCTTTCATCCTGGTTTTCAAATCTTCGAACCAGGCCAGCCCCTTTGCGAACGCTCTCACTCTACTTGGTGTTGGCAATAACACAGCAGCCACGCCGATTTATGCCTGGTGGTACTTCCATGGTGCGTCAAGGCTCGCGGCCACGGACCCAGCAGCGAAAAGGAGGGGTATCAGCGGGCTCCAATCCATGCTAGGACTGGCTATATACCACTGCCAGCCCAAGGCATTCGGAGAAATACGTGACCTCGGATATGACAACACGACTAGCGTGGGAAAAGCGATACTGGCTTCCTTTCCAACTAATGTCCAAGGAACGCCTGTATTTCCAGCAGCATTGAGATACATCATCGTCATTGACCGCGGCACGTTGGTAGCATACATCGTGCTCGGAGGCTCGACCTTGATTTTGTGCTTCGCGGCACTAGTCGCAGTGACTTTTGTGTCACCTATCAATAGGGAACGGGGGTCAAGTTCTTTCCCTATACTGGACTTTCTCTCGGAATGCAAGGTGGTGCATGAAGGACACAACACCCGACGAAGCGTCATGTCCCTGGATGCCTTCAAGGATCGTAACGGTGAGCGCAATGAAAAGGAAACCCTTGATCGCAATACACGGGGACTCCGAGTCATCTTGACTGAGCGCACATCACGATTGCGGACCTAAGTGCTTTTCAGGCAAGAAGTGAATATCTGCAGATCCAACTTGCGGGGAAGATTCTCTTGCATTTTGAGCTTAACCGAACTGAGGCGTCCTCAGGTAGATCAGGGATGAATGATTGGTAACCGGGATAGGAAGAAGTGTGAAGCCATAGGGTGGACAACTAGTCTCATAATTTCGTCGGTCAAAGTTATTTTTTCCATATCAGGATGCATTCCACTTCTTCTATTATTTCGACATTCACCACCTTTCTGCGCATCGAATATGTTACTGCACGTCGCGATGACATTGATGCCTTGTGTGTCCTAGTTTAGCAAGCAACACTTGTCTCTGATGGTGCAGCTAAGCGGGACGAACACAACGTATCTAGTTGTAATAATATCAAGCGCAAACATTACACGCTACCTGATCATATTTCTTTCGAAAAGAATTCGCTGTTTGGGCACTGGTGACTAGACGTGGCGGGCCTTGTTGCAATACTTGGTACTCCTCTTCCGCCCATAGGCCTCCTCTTGCGTTTCGAGCATTCGCAGATTTTCCAACCTATCTTTCGCATCGTCTTCTTCTTTCGGTTCTTCGTCGTGCCTGGGTTCAAGCATGAGAAGTGGGTCCTTCTGTTTCTTGATGGTCGCATCTTGAATGTTCGCGCTGGGTGTAACCTTAGGCTCGCCCATTTTCTGCAACCATGAAGCGTCCTTCCTTGTATTGAGATCACATCTAAGGTATCCTTCACCTTCTCTTTCCCGGTTCCAACATTCAAATCCCACATAATGCAAGAATACATCCACAAACCGTTGCTTCCAATCAAGAGCTGGCAGGTCGGAAGCGAAAGTCAACGCCTGGATTAGGGGCAGTATACGGTGACATTGGGATAGTATGATCTGAGCTCCGTCATTGGTAGGATTCATATTCCCCTGTTGAATAAGTAAAATTCTCAATTTCTCCGCGGTTGTTGCGTTATTGTGTGCGTCAATTGAACTACCAAAGACGAATGGTACCCATTTCTCTAATGCGACTTCATGCGGTAAAGCTTCAGGAAAAGACCGCAGAATTGTTAGGGAAATCATAAGTTCTAAAATCTCATCAATGAGACTCTGCCAGCCGATGTTCACGCGACGAGCGGGATAAGATACGGAATTTTCTATGGTGCCTGTAGCTCTTATCCGGCCACGCGCAGTCTGGATCAGATGATACAGGGGACCCGTCTGTTCGCACAAAAGCAGTGCTTTCACGGCACGATAATAGATTTGTCGCTCTTCATGGGTCTGCAGCGAGCTCTCCGTCCAGTATGAGGTTCTTTGCATTACCGGCCTCAACGGAGGATATCGCGCGTAACCAGGACATAGCACATCCAGCGGAGTATCGAGCACCTCATCCTCAAATACTTTGTTTCGGAATATTTGTCCTGTAGAGTCTTGGCTGCGGTGAATGTTTTCGGCGTCCCGATTCACTGTCCTAGCGAATTCCATCGCTGCCGTACCCAGCTCGCGGGTCCACTCAACCCTCGAAGTCTTGGGAGCAAGGATCAACGGTTCTTGATCACCATGATCGCTCTTCCAGCTCTGATAGCTGCGTTTGTACCATTGGTCGTGTCGATTAGTGCGTGCCGGTACAACCGAGAAATGGCGCTGTAGTATGGCTTTGAGGCATTCTTGCAATGGATCCATTGCTCTTGAGATTGAGATAGAAAGAATTTGGTATAACTGATGTGTTCAAAATGATTGGTGTCGGAACGATGGAGTATATGAGGAAAGGCAGGCGGGCGCAGCGGAAGACTCATGAGGAAGTGTGGCTGTGCAACTCAGCCTTGCCGTTGCTCAGGGGCCAAAATGTAACCCGCTAATCAACACGTGTCTAATCCAGGCAGCCCTTACGTGTCGACAGAATCCTGATGGCTGATACCATCGCCATGATCTGGTGTCGTTAAATCGCCACTCATCTACACCAACCTAGATCGAAATTATCACTATGCTGTCCACACACCCTGCGACCGGTCTGCGCAAGCTTGCTACACAACTTCTCAATGCCATCTTCCTTTTGACTACAGCATTTATGTTATTAAAAAGCTTTGGGGTCATTGCAAATTGCTCTTCGCCCATCGTAGTAGTACTGTCTGAGTCTATGAAGCCAGCTATGCTCAGAGGGGATCTCATAGTACTCTGGAATCGAGGATCGGGCATAAACATAGGTGATATAGTGGTTTACCACGTCGAAGGGAGAGACATACCAATTGTGCACCGGGTTATCAGACGATTTGGAGGAGGGTAAGTATTTTTATTCCGCAGATGTGGTGTCTCATACTGACCTCAACATGTAGAGCAGACCCTTTGCGATTCTTAACGAATGGCGACAACAATATTGCGGACGATACTGAATTATATGCACCTGGGCAAGAGTTTCTGAGCCGTGGGGATGTGGCAGGCTCCGTGATAGGTTGCATACCTTATGTGGGGTATATCACGATTGCGTTTAACGATTTTCCATGGCTCAAGACTCTGATGGTCGGTCTGGTGGGTCTTTCGGCTCTCATACAGCGTGGTTGAGGATCCATTCGGATTATTCGAAGCACAACTCGGCCTCCAACGATCTACCCACAACCATGAATAGCTAGCTGAAATTTATACAACCCTTGGTAAGCAGGGGTGTACGCCACATTCCGAATTTAGACATATGTCTGACTACCTAAGTCTATAGAGACTCCTACCCTCCTTGTACTCGTTGCGCCCCTTCTAAGTTAATTATCTTCTTTATATGGACAGGAATACGCTCAATCCAAGCCTGTATCTTCTCCTAAGGTAGATCTCCCCAGCACTACTCCTATGCACGGACAGCCTCTACTATACTCTTTGGCGCCTCATTATTTGTAGTAGCTCTCTTTATCCATGGCCAGCAAGGCTCAATAGCGTTTAAGTTGGGAGATTTGAAACACTAGAGAAGCTTTGCAATATTATAGATGCTATATATATAGCTCTAGACGTAATAATCTTCAGAAGCCGCCTTATCTTCTTATATAACTGTGTCTAGTCGCTCTACTTTTAACTCCTTTACAAAAGGTATCAGCTTTGGAAGCAGGATAGATGTCTAGTAATAATACCAGTCAATACCCGAGCCTCTGCCTTCGCTGAACTTTCCTGTCTTCTTATTCCGAATCCATTGAGATTATCGTTCAGGCTTATTACGTAGATCAAGGCGACGCATTCTAGTTTCAAGCTCCTATTGCGCCTTCATGATAGCCTACTCTAGCTCTTAATTCAGCTCCTTAACTCAACTAGCAGCAGCCTCCTTCTTCTTTGTTTCTGGTGCCCAATAGTGACATGGGCCTTTCTTATCATGCGAAAAGTACCCCTAGAACCCCTAGAATATAAACTCAGAGTATCCCTATCACCTTGCAGGAATACAACATCGAATAAATGCCTCATTAGCCTTCCGCCGTATCCTGTATCCTCCAAGCCTATAGAGGAGAATTATAGACTTTTCGTCAGACTAAATAACATTCTTCCAGTCCTCAATTATCCAGTGTTTATGCTGTAGGCACGAGCCTACTTTATCTTCTTCGTTATCCTAGGCTTCCTTGTTAGTTTTGTCTTCTTAAAGCCTCCTTCCTTATGATGCGCCAGATAGTTGAGGTGGAGATATTACATCCTTCTTAGCTAAGCGTGCTAGCGACGTCAGCGTAGGACTTTTCTCATCTATGGTGGTTAGTACGTACGCTGTTAACTACGTTCTAAGCAACTTCATCCTACCTTACGAGCCTGCCAGATTAATGGCTATCTTCAAGGTATTTATTCAGAAGCTCGAGTGGCCGCTAGAATGGATCAAAGCCTCATTCAATAGTTTGCGTAGATATTGAAATGATTATCCGCTTTAAAATCCCTCTTAGGCTAGCACTCTCGTCATTTGGCTTGCTAGTAGCCTTAAGAGTAATTTCTAAAGCTCGAGTAGCGAGATCGTGAGGAGCCATAGCAAAGATAGTATCATTTAGAGAGCAAGTAGTACAGAGGAGTGTTACGAGCTTGAGAAGCAAAGGCCACGTAAGCTTAGAGATGCTTCTGAATTCGGAATGTGGCGCATACCCCTGCTCGCCAAGGTGGGCAAGGACTTCTGAAAGGCACCTCCGCAGTCAGGCTGAGACGGACGGCGGTGAGGGCGTGCTGACTGCATGAAGAGACATAGGTCTTTGTTGCTCGCTGTCATTGGCCATCGGTCGTTCAGCTCGCACTACCGTTACGCATTTTTATTTTGTCCCTTCACCCTTTAACAGTCTGCCGTACGTACGTCCTGATCGCGCTTACCCGATTCTGCCGTCATGGGCCAGCTGTCTTCCTATTGGGGCAACCAAGACACGTCGTTACGATAGCGCGTGCCGGTTCCCGGCCTCGTGCCTGTTCGATGGCAGCTGTTCACAGGCATACTAATACGAGGATGCTACTTAGCATTAGGGTTAGTTTTGGGGTTAGCTTATTGTGTATAGGGTTGGGGTATAGAATGCATTAATTTAACTAGCTAAATCTTTACAGGAATGCCCGTGATTGTTTATTGGTCTTCGGGCCCGCGTACAGCTGCCCTGTTCGACGCACTACCTAGACACTCCTTGGGGTAGGAACTCTTGAGGGTACACCGCTCTTTTATTGCGACCACCTTTTGGCCCACAGCCATAGAATTCCGTCTAAAGAACCTTTACCTTCCTTCCTGATGATTTGCGGCGCAGAAGAGTCATCTTTGGTGTAATACGGATCAGCCAACAAGCCCAAATCTAGTGCATGGCGAGACTTTCAGACTGGTGGGAGAAAAAGGCTTCGATGTCGGTGAACGAAAATGCTCCCTACGCGCACCGCTCCGCCGGCGGCGCTTCCGACTATGGTATCGGTCTCATCAACTGAAATTCATTAACAAATATTGCTGACTAGCATCTGGCGAGGATAGCTACAAGGGACTGCGAATTGTCTTGTTCAGCTGGCGAAAGGAGACGCCGCTAAGACAACGTTCTTCGGAACGGCTGATGACTTGACACAAGTCTAAGCGCTGTATAGGAATATATGTATCAGCTGGAGTGGGGATATATGAGAAAGTGATGTATAAAGACACCTTCCAGTCCTCTATGTCCTTACCAGAGACCAACAAACTTCCCAAGTCGCTAGCTACCAGCATCGAAGCAACCGCAGTCCTTCGCACCTCATAAATCATGAAGACCTTTACCATTGCCACCCTCTTGGCCCTAACGACCATCACCGTTGCATGCCCCGGCGACTTTGAAAAGTGTGGCTGGAGGATGACTGGTAACTTCCACTCCCAGTAGGCCCGGTCCACCACGACCTAACCAAGTTTACAGTCGACGGATATACGCAAAGTGATCTCACCAAGGCAGTATGCGGCCGCACAGACACGTGCGGGGGGAGAGAATGGAATTCCTTGTTCATTGTGCGTCCTGACGGGTCCCTGGAGGCGGGTGGATTCTGCAGCCAGGGCTGTTATGAGCGTGAGGACTCATTGTGTCTACATGAGGGATGGTGTCATTAAGGGAGATGAGCGAATGCCACAGTTATAGATTCTCTCCATGTACGCCCGAATCATGTCGGCTATATTATAATGCATAGGTAGAAAATTCTGCTCCACTTTTTCTTCTCTCTACTTTCCCTTTACTGTGTTCTCTTTGTATCGAGTTACACGTCGCTATCACCTACGAATTGGCCCTGGGCCGTGATAGGCGGAAACTCGTGACCCCAAGATTAATGCCTCAGAAAATTGAGACTTAAGAAAAGGCGCCAAGTCATCCAATTTAGAACTAAGGCCTAGTATTAATTTTAGTAATTCTTAAGCGACTATTAGATAACTATTAGACCCCTAATTGGCCTATAACACTCCTACCCTATATTAATCGACCTAGGCCTCCTTTGGATGACTATTAAGCGGCTGGTTAGACTACTAGGATTAGATAATTAAGGAAGAATCTGTTAAATCCAGAAGGGTAGCTAGTCCTAAAGGGTTAGGGTTGGTTCTCGGGCAAGACAACTGAGGGAAGGAAGGGGTTTTGTCGAGACGATAGTATCGGAGGAGGATATAACGAGTCGATAATATAGCCTAAGTGTAATCCAAATGATAGATTAATAAACAGGTTGAACACGAGTGTAAGAGTTCATACTCGAGTTCCTATATACTTAAGCGATCTCATGATATCCCATACTCTTATGAAATCCCATGCTTGGTACATGTAGGATCCCATGGTACGGTCACGTGACGCTTCGTTATATGATCCCAGTGTCCCATGGCTTGGCGCTTAGGACAACCATGAGACATTACCTAATCTTTGTGGGGCCTAAGGTTGTATGCCGTCATAAGCGACCTCTATCCTCGCCCGCTTCTTGGGATCCTAACATTACCTCCTCCCTTTCCATACATGCCCTTATATATTAACCAATGTCCTCCCGTAGTACCATTTATCGTCATACTATTAGGAATTAAATAAACGCTACTAGGTGGATCACTATGGTGTCTTATAAATATTACGTAAAGAAGGGTTTAGCTTATAAGATATTGTCCCTAAAGGTCTAATATAGGAATTATTATTATAATAGAATTTTAAAATGCGAACCTATGGAACCTATTATTCCAAACTTCTCCCAAATTGATTCCAAAGTCGACTATTTGGAGAGATTGGAAGAGGCAGCGGCTACTAAAGAGGAAGCTACTATAGCTACTCTTTAGGCTACCTATATGTTATAAGGGGTTTCCACGTACCTAACCGTAGGTTCGGACCCTGCGGGTATT